TTCCAATGATAAGGGTGACGATGATGATGGCAATAATTATGATCCCAACGATAAGGGTGACGATGATGATGGCAATAATTATGATCCTAATGATAAAGGCGACGATGATGATGGCAATAATTATGATTCCAACGATAAGGGTGACGATGATGATGGCAATAATTATGATCCCAACGATAAGGGTGACGATGATGATGGCAATAATTATGATCCCAACGATAAGGGCGACGATGATGATGGCAATAATGATGATGATAAAATAATGGCGACGACGATGGCACGGAAAACGATGAGAATAAAGAAGACCTTGAAAATGATAGCGATAATGATGATGACAACAAAACTAACGACGATAAATAACGTTGACGACGATGATGACAGCAAGAGCAGCAATGCTAGACACATGTGAAATCTATAGTGACATTGCCACAAAGCGAATGAAACCGTTGCATAGGAGGAAAAAACGCATCCGGACAATAGTGAATATCGTCAATAAACAGAAAGCTGACGCCATGCTGCCACCAGCAACAAACACTGTGGCGACGAAGGCAACAACAACAGACAATGTAAGATAATTGTGTATTAATTCGACGAGATATACAGAGATAGCACGGCGCCCTGCCCCCAACCCCGTGAAGACAAACTCGTTGGCCAAATAGATACCATCTCCTTCACATCTCCTCCTCGCACGCCTCACTCGCTCGTGCCCTTCATCTGACCCCACCCCTACCACCAGCGCAAAACGTCTTCTTCATCTTACGGGGACCGATAGGAGTGCGGTTCGAACAGACGATCGCGACCAATTCTACAAATGGACTTGCGGGAATCAATTTCCTGCAACTTTTTTTTTGTGGGCCGTCGAAAGTCCAGAACGAGCTCCACCGCACAACCACCCGACGCGCGCGCTCGCGTAAACTAATGTGGCGGGAAGGATGAGGAGTGCGCAGCATCCCTGCACGGATGCCACATCGTAGCGAGGGGATAGTACAGGTGGGCAGCTGCTGGTTTCAGAACTGCAGATGCGCCGCTACTCACTCTCGAGTGCTTGCTTCGTTCATGAGATAGCTACTGCTGGAGACGCGATTCATACTCGGTCAGTCACAGACAGCAGGTGTTTACAGTAATGGTAGGAATCGCTCTCCCCATTTCTCTCACACACCCTGCCTGTCTATCTGTCTGGCTGGCTGGCTGGCTGGCTGTCTGCCTGTCTGGCTAGCTGGCTGGCTGGCTGGCTGTCTGCCTGTCTGGCTGGCTACCTGGCTGGTTAACTGGCTGGCTGTCCGTCCGTCCGTTCGTCCGTCTGTCCGTCCGTCCGTTCGTCCGTCCGTCGCTCCCTCCCCCTCTCTTTTCTTTCTTCTCTCTTCTCTCCTCTGGTCGACAGACAGGTGGATTATTCACGCTATCCGGTGGGAAACGTGGCAGACTCTCGAGTGCCGATTCATTACTCCTTCACCGCTCGTCGTTTGATTTCACATTAATTAGTCCGAAAGCTTTATTCCGATTGCGATTCTCACGCCACTGAAGCTCGACTCCCCCCATCACCCGTATTCAATTCATCGCCATGGTTCGAGTGCCTTCTAGGCAGAGAAAAAATGCATTTTCTTTCTTTCGCGGGAGCTCTTTTTCAAGTGTGTGGGAAAAATAGCTCTCGTCAAAAATTTTACGGGAGCTATTTTGAGCCTCACGGGAGCGACTTCGAAGGTTGGAAGAGCGAATCGCTCATCGCTCATGTGTATTTTTTACCCTGCTTCTAGGTCTGTATAACAAACCATTTAAAGTGATTACGTCACCGTAAATAGTAAAAAATAAAACTAAAAGAACTAGAACCAGAACCATCTGTGTAATCAGAAATAAAGGAACAAAACTTGGTCTGCTGTCTTTATGACGGCTTTCCGTGGATTGGCATGGTGGACGAAATTTCGGAGGAGTTTGGTGACTACCACATCAATTTCACGCACCCTCATGGACCTACCAAGCAATTCAAATGGCCATTGGAAACAGATCAATGCTGGGTTACAGAAGATGATATTCTGTGTACAATCAACACCCCATCTCTTACATCATCCTCTTCCAGAAAGTACTTTATCTCAGAAAACGATGCTGCGAGGATTTCAAGTGTGCATCCGGACTGGATCATTGATGATCAATGAATTATTGATAATTGAGAACATGGTAATATAATGATTTCTCATTAGACTGAATAGTCATTTAGAATGTTATTGCCACCTGTCATTTTCAATCAGGTTATGTACAGCAAAGCCAATGTTTGGGATTAACTTGATATATGAAATAGATTGGAATGGTATACATATATGTGCCTACATGTACAGCATTGCATAGGAATAGGCGTTATTGCACCTACTATGCCAACTTTGAGAAGGGCTGGAAAGCAAACAAAAAATATTATATCTCTAATTTTTGTATATTATGTAGAAAACATGTTGAGGTATAATTTTCAATGAAGTTAATCTCAAGGTTACGTGATCCACAGGGTCAAATTCAAGGTCAAAGTAAAGGTCAAAAGGTCATCAAACTTTATATTGCTCCTATATAACAAATAATGACAGATTTGGATTGCCTATGCAATTAGCTTTCCAAAGACACCAATATTAACCAATTTGGCCTAGTAGTTACAGAGATACGACCATTTGAAAATTGACGGGTGCGTCCATTTTGGCCAAAATCGCCAAAAAAGGGCGTGACGTAGCGCGAAAACCGTTTGTCCGACGGAGCTGAAATTTGAAATTTCAGCTATTTCAGCCGAAATTACCTCATAAACCAAATTTCAGCCAATTTGGAAAGGGTAAGGTGTAACCCATTGGGTGATCTGACACGGAATGACCCAGAGGGAGTGTGTATGAGTCTGAGAGAGAGAGGTGCGCGCGCGCGCGTGTGTGAGAGAGAGAGAAAGAGAAAGAGAGACGTGTTTGTGTTTGTGTTGTGTGTGTGACACGAGAGAGAGAGAGAGAGAGAGAGAGAGAGAGAGAGAGAGAGAGAGAATAGAGTGCAATAATTTGCATTATGCACGCAAGTTAGATGCCTCGTGGACGTCTAGAAAGCATTAGAAGTAAAATTGGTCTTGTTGTGTAATTGTGCCATTCCAGCTAGTGGCGTAGCCATGGTCGCCGGTCTGTATAAAACGGGATCCGACTACTCTGTAGAAATTCGCTTCATAGAGCTGGCAAAAGTTTCGAGCGGAGCATAGAGCATGAATCTGTAGTTATTTAACATGAATAAAGTGTATGTTGTGTAAGCGCAGTAACAGTGTGAGTATTTTTAATTAATTTCTGTTCGATGCTTATTCAGGCCTGCCGCATATGGACGCCCTCTACTGTTGTTCGACCGCCTTCCCGCTGTTGTTCCGCCTGGTAAATAGAGCTTTTCTGCCAAAGAAATCGAATAATTTAGTTTTATGTTAATGAAAATCAGTTATGCAAGTCTTCTAGCATGGTTTTTTGACACATGCATGTTCAAATGACATTTAAACATGCATTTTATGTAAACATGTACGTATCCGTGTACATATGTACATGTTATTTACATATCTACATTAAAATACACTCATTTTACACTCCTTTGGTACCAGAAAATAGATAATTATCCTCGTTTCACTCTTTTCTGGCACACCTAACACTAACGGTGTTAAAATATCTTAACTTTGTTGGTTACAATTCACCCTAACCCTCGTTCTAACACTGCGCTTAACGGCATGGAGCGAACATGAATTTCCATTGATTTCTGTGTTTTGGGGGCTTATTTCAGAGAGTGATATCTCAGCTCCAAGAGTGAGGCCACATTTGAAATTCGGTCGGCATATAAGGAAAAGACTCTAAATTATTCATCTAAAATTTCAAGTCGATCCGTATCTCCGCTGCTCATTAAGTAGGCATACAACAGTAAGCCTCCGCAATTGTTCACCGTTGCACTATATCGTCTCTAGAAAATGCATTTTTAGCATTTTTTTTCGCAGTAATTCGGCACTAGAGTGCAATAATTTGCATTATGCACGCAAGTTAGATGCCCCGTGGACGTCTAGAAAGCATTAGAAGTAAAATTGGTCTTGTTGTGTAATTGGCAATGGTCGCCAGTCGGCCATTTTTGTGTATGAAACGGGATCCGACTACTCTGTAGAAATTCGCATCATAGAGCTGGCAAAAGTTTCGAGCGGAGCATAGAGCATGAATCTGTAGTTATTTAACATGAATAAAGTATATGTTGTGTAAGCGCAGTAACAGTGTGAGTATTTTTAAAGCTGTTGCAGTGGCTGCTGCTGCTGCTGCTGTTGCAGTGGCTGCGGACGCTGCTGCCTCTGCTGCTGTGGCTGCAGTGGCTGTTGTTGTTGCTGCCTCTGTTGCTGTGGCTGCAGTGGCTGTTGCTGTTGCTGTTGCTGCTGCTGCAGTTTTTTGTTGTTCTTTCTCCTTGGTGAAAACAAAGCAAAATTTTGTGAACGTAGCAATACAAATAAGTTGTAGTGAATTTTTGCAACATATGCGAGCTCGCAGTAGGTATATCTTTGTATCTAGTTGCGAGTTTCATTCACTTTAATTTATACTGATGTGAATACATATAGCATTTTTTAATGACCTTATTATTTACGATACCTATAATCTTTTTTATTTTTTAGTACCCTCTTCACTTCATGGAGCACTGCTCCTTCTGGTAGGGCAGGGTCTCCAATAAGTTCATGGAGCTGCAAAGGAAAAGTGTAACTCGTCACTTTTTCATGATTTGGTTGTAGTTAATGTGTAGTTTGTAATTAGTGACATATGTGACTATACTGTGTAAGGTGTGCATAACATATAGTATTTACTCACACGGGCCACCGCTTTATTTATTCCTCCCTTGTTACTCCCATGTAACTCCAATTGGCTGTGCAATTCTCGCTGAAATTCAGTAACAATGTGCTAGATAAAGTGCACTCTATTGTTCAAATCATTTTTTGATTTAGGTTTTCAAAATAGAGTGTGAAATAAATGCTAATTTATAAGTATTTCAAGTATGGGCAAAACAGTACGTCGTATGGTAAATGAGTGTATGATTCTTACGAGAAAAACTTTTCGGGCCTCGCCCATTTTATCTTTTCCTCCTCGCTTGAACATCTCGGACACATTACATTCCATAAGTGGGTTCATCCTGTAAGAAAATGTTACGTGTGCTTTATAATACTGGGAAAATATGCACATTTTTAATCTCAACAGGCAGGAAAATCTGATTGGCTAGCGTGCAAGTTGCCAGACAGCAAATGTAGACGCGGGACTCTAGAATCGCAGCCAAGTTGCATGAAAAAGTCGCAAGTCTGCGCTAGGCTTAAGTCGTCATTTTCAAGCCGTCATTATGTGTAAGTCGGCGCTCTCAGACAAGTTCCATGTAATACAAACAACACTAATTTCCTATCTGTAAGTGGTCACTGTAAGATCACGCTATAATGGGGCCGCACTGCATATATATATATATAGAGAAGTAAAGAAATACAGAATTATATAGGATTAGAATTAAAATTAGAATTATTTATAATTTATTTATTAAATTATTATTTAATTTATTATTAAATATTTTATATTTAAATTATTATTTTATTTATTTATTAATTATTATAAATTAAAATTAGAATTTATATAGGATTATTTCACCTTATTCCAATGTCTGCTGACCTATGAAGAGATGTAAATCATCGAAAGCTTTGTCTCAATTAAACTTTAACAACCTATTATCTATACCTTGACTGTTATAGTATATATTATAATATATATATGGTTTAATATATACTATATATATATATATCAGGGGTAATATTGACAAATTCCTCATTAACCCCTGATATATATATATAACTATATATATATATATATATATATAACAGTCAAGGCTTATATAGTGAATATAATATATATATCTCACTAGAAAGCATACGATGCAACCGAGAGATCAATGAATTATATGATTAGGTAATGCAATCGGGTTGTTTTATATAAAAAAATGTAAATTAGATACAAACTAATTAACAATGTGAATTTGTACTGATGGAGGATTTGTTATTCCAGTTTATTTTCTTCAATTATTCGTCCTTCACATGGGACCACCAAATGAACTCGTAAGTATGGCATGCTACAGTGCTGACATTGAATTATTTCAATTAATTAATTAATGAAATAATTATACTTTTTAAATGTTCGCATCTACATTGAGAAAATTTGTATGTATGAATGAATGGAATTAATCGTTTGATTAATCGTGTGCATTGAAGAAAGGTGGAATAAATAACTATAGCTAATGTAATTATGTGGTTTGTAATTATGTAAATGGTAAATCGTAATGTCATCTGTCGTGGAAGATTGAGTATCACTGCAAAAATTGTTAGAATAAACGCTATCAACCACCAGTGGGCAATGGCCGGCAGCGCACAGCGAGTACTTGTTTTATTCTTTTGTGTGTTTGGTCGTTAACGTTACTTGTTAAAGATAAATTGTTTCCATAAAGATATATATACAGTATAACAGGTATAAGTTACAGAAGTGGCTGTATATTTCGGCGCGAAACGCGTGGCGCGACCGTGAAAAGATTCCTGCAAACCAAAAATTCTTCACCGGACGCGCAAAACATTGTCCGTACATGTCTGAATTCGCGAAAAATATGTCGTGGAGTACATACCCTTGAACGCCTTACTCGTTGGTTTATTAAAGTACACAAAATACTTTTAATAATCGTTTTACATGCATATATCTAAAGTAATGTGCGGTGATGGGAAATGAGTTGCGCAAATAAATTAACAAAATTTCAGCTTTAAATTTTCTGAGTCATGAGCAATTTACTAATAATCAGGGTCTCCCCAGGAATGAAAATTCAAACAAGGGGGAGGGGAGGGGAATGGGTGAGGGGGGGAAACAGGGGGGCGTGTTTTTTACGCGTACCACTAATTTAATGCGTAAAATCCTACCCACACACCATCAGAACGTATTTGGGGTTCCTTGTATAGTATAAGATCTAGCCGAGTCGGTGTAGCAGTTAAGTGTTTGGGTTTTGTGGAAAGCAGGTGTGACTGTTGTATTGTCTGCAGCTGCATACGTGCGTAACTGTAATAAAATACACGCGCCGGGTATCCCTGGTCGAAATTGGTAGCTCTGGACGATCGTTTCCGCGAGCAGGCTGGCAAACTGTTTAGTTTTGAGGTGGAATTTAAATCGGGGCGGAGGTAATCTTTAAACAGGGGTCGCACGATTGAGAAAGGGGGGAGTTTTTCCCTAACCGTAGGAGAACCCTGAAATTTATGATAGTTAATCATATCATATATACAAACTGCATGCAGTGCCCTCCACACTGAAGGGATAATACCAACACTGCCACAATACTAGCACTAATTTTAAAGACTGGGGGGAGCTCCGGGGAAATCCAGCAATATGGCAATCCACACGGCCCGCGAAGTCGCGTCGACTAAAAAACATTAGAAATTTCTATGATCTTGCATGTTGTTTGCGTGGAACTAAAATTTAGAATGTTTTAAGCTGAAATACGCAAAAATGTATCAAAAGACAATGTCGAGAATTAGGTATATTGCAATCATTCCAAAAATCTCATGATAATACGTGAACTTAAATGTTAGTAACAAGGCAGTAATGGATTTTGAAGTAGTAAATGGGCACTTTTTCAAATATCACTATTTATCAAAATTTCTCATAAATAATGGTTGGATTTTTAATATCTTTGCAGCTTTATAAGGACACACTGTATACATAGGATAGAGTAACGGGGTCGCTGTAAAAACTTAATAGTAAAAAGCGTAGAAATTCTAACACAAATCAGAGCTTGTGGCAGTGGTAGGAATTGAGACAGAGCCGAGAGCGCCATCCTGTCGTGAGTTTGATATATATTATAATGATTCTGGCTTTCCATGTGCTCACGGCTGGTTCGTTAAAAACTTCCCATCAGTCTTCAGTAGTTTCGTCAATTTCACTGGAAGCTAACAAGCGAGTCTGAATGTGTTAATGTTTAGTAAGTGTCGAAGTCCAATGCGTAGAAGTTAGAGAACTGCGTTAAAACAACAGATC